TAAATAAAATATAAATTATTATTGTTATTATTATTACTATTATTAATTTCCTGCACATAAATTAATATTTTTGGCGCAAAACAATTGCTTGTGGATTTGGCATAGAGTAAGTCCCCAATTATGGTCCTTTCTGCAGAGGAAGCAGCCTTCTTTACACAAAAGGAATTTATCTTACTGTAGAAATATTAGTCTGCAGAAAAGGCAAAACAAGCAAGGAGATGTTGTGCGAAGTCCCAAACTGTGAAGATGCTTGCAAGTGCATGATTCTTCTTGTCATGTTTTTCCAGTACTTGAGAAATAGAGAAATAGCCTTCTCTATCAAATAGTGCTGCCGCCTCACCAAATTACAACTCTTGTGATAACCTTGAGCCATGGTAATTAAGGTGGTGTTAAACTACATTAATTCTACAGTGTAGATCAGGCATGGGCAAACTTTGGCCTTCCCTGCTTAAGCAGCTGAGGGGGGAAAGGAAGGGTCCTGAGGCTGTTAGGAATTGTGGGAGTTGAAGTCCAAAACACCTGGAGGGTTGAAGTTTGGCCATGCCCGGTGTAGATGCACTCCTGGTTGACACACGTAGTCTATTGGAGGCCCCAACTTTTTGTCCTAGTTCCCCTTTTGCTATGTAGATGAGGAACAAAAATGCAGCTCGTGAATGTGCATTGCTAAGTTTTCTTTTCTAGCATATGTCCATGCAAAATGTATGGGGTTCCTCCCCCGCCCACTCCCACCCCAGCTACTCTTTTTCTCCAGACTCGTAATGAATTCAAAGTGATTTAGCAACCCAAGGGCTCAATTACCTGTACAATGCATTTGGAATGATGATAAAATCCCATATGGAAACAGTGCCTTGGAAACACTGATCATAATCTAATGTACATTTAATAACTGCAGGCATATTTGCAGCACAGCTATGCGCATTGAGAGGAGACCACACAAAGGGGCCGGATTCAATACCACCATTGCTTTGAGTAATGAATCACTGCGGGATTATAAATGGGAAATAGTTATTGGCAGATCCTTGAGGTATGTTTGCCTGTGGTAGCAGAGCGGAGTCTAGATTGGCCATCTTTTGATTAGAAATAAGAATGGCACTTGGGCTTGGATCAGAAGGCAGAGTTTATCATAAGTGGTTTGGGAACGGCAGGGCCCGATTGTCCGAAAGGGATAGAAGAAACAGTTGAAAACTCTCTGTCTCTCCTTTGCTGGCAAGTGCTTGCAGCAAAACCTGGAAATGTTAGTTTGGACAACTTTTGCATAACTGCTCACCAGACTGGCTAGCGGATTCTGAGAGCTGGAGAAGAAAAAGTAAATTTTCCAAACGCTGGTCAGTGCACACAACCAGGGGCGGCTCGTCCATTATGCGAAGTAAGCGGTTGCAGAACACTTTTTTTGCCAGGGGCGCAGAGGCGCCTCTGTCAATGCCCCTCGACCGCCACTTGAGGAGCGCCCCCTCAGCTCACAACAGCCCTAGCAGTCCGGGGGGAGCCTCGGCTTTCTTGCCTTGCTGCTGGGCGATCCTCTTCCCAAAGGGGCCGGGCCCTTGAGCCTCGCCTAGCCCCTCTTGTTCCTGCTCCACCTGGCCACCGGGTGCACGAGCAGAGCCGGCGCTCAATCGTTCTCCGTGTTCGATCCCTTCCCTATGACCGGCTCCCTTTCCCGATCCCCCGGCGCTCCACCTGCCTCCTCTCCTCTCCCCAATCCGCGGGTGGGCCAAGGGGCGGAGCCGCCGCACCCGGCCCGCTTTGGGTCCGGAGGCGTGCCTGAAGACCCCAGCATGCGCACCAAAAGTCGCCTCTTCTCCTGACTTTCTCTTCAGCCATTGGGACCAAGAGAGAGAGAGAGAGAGAGAGCCTCCGGCTGGAGGTATCTCCCACCTCCACTCCCTCCTTTGTTTTTGCGCCTTGTATGTGGGCATCTCCACCTCTGTCTCTCTCTCTCTCTCCTTGGTCCCAATGGCTGAGGAGAAAGTCAGGAGAAGAGGTGACTTTTGGTGCACACGCCGGTGTCTTCAGGCACGCCTCCGGACCCAAAGCGGGCCAGGCAAGGGAGCAAGTGCGGCAAGTGTAGTTACTGGGATGTATAGTTCACCTACAATCAAAGAGCATTCTGAACTCCACCAATGATGGAATTGAACCAAATATGGCACACAGAACTCCCACGACGAACAGAAAATATATATCAGTGATTGGTGGGGGGGGGGGGGGGGGACAAAATACTGTTTGCTTACCGTTGAAAATTACCTAGGGCCGCCTCTGCACACAACCAATCAATTCCATGCTTGGAACCACTGTTGTGCCTCAATGTGCCCTCAAAACAGGATTTCAGAGCAATTTTGCCATGTTTATTCCCCTTTTGCTGTTTTAATCCCAGGACTAAATGAATTTCTGTTTACAAAGCCTTCTTGGGATTGGAGTAACTCACGCCAACAGACAACATTGTTGAATAGTCCATCATGACAGCAAGTGGAAAGGGGAAAATGTTGAAGGCCTCAGGAAGGGCGTCTTCCCCCACTCTGGATGCAGAGCTAGGAAAGGAACCAGGGTGGCCAGCCAGACAATAACTTGACCAGCATGAAAAAGATCTTGGAGTCCTTGTGGACAACAAGTTAAACATGAGCCAGGAATGTGATGTGGTGGCAAAAAAAGCCAATGGGATTTTGGCCTCAGGCATCAAGAGGAGCATAGTGTCTAGATCTAGGGAAGTCATGCTCCCCAGCTCTATTCCGCTTTGGTTAGACCACTTTACCTGGAATATTGTGTCCAATTCTGGGCACCACAATTCAAGAGAGATATTGACAAGCTGGAATGTGTCCAGAGGAGGGCGACTCAAATGATCAAGGGTCTGGAGAACAAGCCCTATGAGGAGCGGCTTAAGGAGCTGGGCATGTTTAGCCTGAAGAAGAGAAGGCTGAGAGGAGATATGATGAGGGCCATGTATAAATATGTGAGAGGAAGCCACAGGGAGGAGGAGGGAGCAAGCTTGTTTTCTAGGACGCGGAACAATGGCTTCAAACTACAAGAGAGGAGATTCCATCTGAACATGAGGAAGAACTTCCTGACTGTGAGAGCCGTTCAGCAGTGGACCTCTCTGCCCCAGAGGGAGTGTGGTGGAGGCTCCTTCTTTGGAAGCTTTTAAACAGAGGCTGGATGGCCATCTGTCAGGGGTGATTTGAATGCAATATTCCTACTTCTTGGCAGAATGGGGTTGGACTGGATGATGGCCCAGGAGGTCTCTTCCAACTCTTTGATTCTATGATTCTATCTTGCTTCTGTACATTTGTATCTTGGACTCCTTTGCTATGTCCTGCTCTCTTGGCAGCCACTTCTCCTCAAAAGTCGACATTGACACTGAAATACAACAATGCCTGAGTTCTGGGAGTGCAGCATTTTTCCGAATGAAGCAGAGAGTGTTTGAGGACCGGGACATCCGTAGGGAAGCCAAGGTGCTTGTTTATAAAGCTGTTGTCCTCCCAACACTGCTATACGCTGTCTACAGATGTCACATGCAACTCCTGGAATGATTCCATCAGCATTGCCTCCGAAAAATCCTGCAAATCTCTTGGGAAGACAGGAGGACAAATGTCAGTGCTGGAAGAAGCAAAGACCACCAGCATTGAAGCGATGGTCCTCCGCCATCAACTCGCTGGACTGGCCACGTTATCTGGATGCCTGACCACCGTCTCCCAAAGCAGTTGCTCTACTCAGAACTCAAGATCGGAAAACGGAATGTTGTGGACAGGAAAAGATATTTAAAGATGGGCTCAAAGCCAACCTTAAAAACTCTGGCATAGACACTGAGAACTGGGAAGCCCTGGCCCTTGAGCACTCCAGCCGGAGGTCAGCTGTGACCAGCAGTGCTGCAGAATTTGAAGAGGCACTAATGAAGGGCAAAAGAGAGAAACATGCCAAGAGGAAGACGCGTCAAGCCAACCCCGACCAAGACCACCTTCCACTTGGAAACCGATGCCCTCACTGTGGGAGAAGATGCAGGTCAAGAATAGGGCTCCACAGTCACCTACGGACCCACCGCCAGTACACCGATCTTGGAAGATAATCCTACTCAGACTACGAGGGATCATCTAAGTAAGTGATTATTTTCCAAAACATGTGTATAACAAAATACGTATTTGTTTGAGACCTCTTTTGTATTTGTATTACATTTGAATGCTATTGAAAACACCTTGTAACACCTTCTGTGCGTAACTGTCTTGTTTCACCACTGCAGTCTCACCTCGACCTCCTGGAACAAACCACAAACCACAAGAAAATCTTCTTCCGGAAGCAAACTCTGTGCCACACTTTAGGAGGAAACCCTTGCCCTCTGCTCACCATCACCGCCATGCCTGAATCGGAAAGGAGCCACGACATGGAGGAGTTTCGTAAGTCACGGGTGCCAAATTTAGGCTACCTTCATTTTGCAGTTTTTGTGTTCTCACCCCATTTGATGCTCAGTCACAGTGGCAGTGTCATACTCTGCAGTTGTTCCAGTTTGACAGGGACAGTGAATCCTCAGCAGTTCCAGTATTTCAGAGACATGTAAAATGTCCCAGATTCTCTCTCCTCGTCCCACTTTCCCTTCTTTATCCTCGGCTTGATTCAAACTGAGTTCAAACTGAAAAGTAGTTTGCATTCAATTAACTCAGTGGGAGGAGAGGCAATGAAGGGACACACAAACTTGCTTTTCCCAACAGGCTCAGACAAAAGCAAATTGTTGCAGGCTCTCCAGTCTTTTGAGTTACTCCTCATTTGGCATGTTGACTATGCTCTGAGGTTTGGTCACATATGTCCCAGTTTTCATCCGTGAACTGTTGGAGGATGCATTTGTTGTTGGAAATAGCCACCTTCTCAAGCTTCCACTAGTTGTTTGTTATGTATATAATTCAGATTGCTTACTGTATTGTATATGTGAGTATTGGTATACAAATTTACTTTAACTCTTTGTTGTGCGTGGGGCTGCAGGCCATGTAATCAAATCAAATCATTTATTTCGGTCATTGACCAGCACAGGAAATAGAGTCACATTTTCATACAAACTTGGTATGTTTGGTACATTAAAAATATAAATATAACTAAAGGTAAAGGTAGTCCCCTGACATTAAGTCCAGTCATGTCTGACTCTGGGGTGTGGTGCTCATCTCCATTTCTAAGCCGAAGAGCCCCACGTTGTCCGTAGACACCTCCAAGGTCATGTGGCCGGCATGACTGCATGGAGCTCCTAAATATTACTGAAGCACAATTTGGATGAGGGAGCAGAAGGGGAAACAGAGTAAAAACATACAATGCCCAGATCCATCACCAAATTGTAGATTCAGGGAAGAAGATTACTGGACACACCATGTGATCAGGTCTGGGCTTGTTCAGGGCTCAGACTCCATTTTAGAAACAGTTCAGTTTAGGCTTCAGTAGAGGAGTTTGCCTCAGGCTTCAGTAGGAACTCTTTGCTTTAGAAGACAGAGACTGCATCTCAGAACAGAGAGGTGCTTTCAGTGGTTCCCAACCTTTGGGCCTCCAGGTGTTCTGGTCTTCAACTCCCAGACATCCCAGCCAGTTTACCAGCTGTTAGGAACTGTGGGAGCTGAAGTCCAAAACACTTGGAGGCCCAAAGGCTGGGAACCACTTATTGATTATGAGAAAGATGCCCTGTGTGACCTACGCAGAGAAACTACTTCAAATCTACTTGTAACGGGATTGATAAGCACAGAACCTGTATGCTGAATACATGAAGTTTGTGAGCAAACCAAGTATGTTACTTTTAAAGAAGTGCTTATTTTTGTCTCTTGAGAGCATGATTTAAAGGCAAATATGTGTTTTGGGCAACTAAAAGGAACACTTCTGAAACTGAGTTGTTGTAGGTTTTTCTGGGCTATATGGCCATGTTCTGGAGGCAATTTTTCTCCTGACGTTTCTCCTGCATCTATGGCAAGCATCCTCAGAGGTAGTGAGGTCTGTTGGAAGTAGGAAAAAGGGTTTATATATCTGTGGAATGACCAGGGTGGGACAAAGGACTCTTGTCTGCTGGGGCTAGGTGTGAATGTTTCAGCTGATCACCTTGATTAGCATTCAATGGCTTGGAAGGGCCTGGGGGGAATCTTCTGAAACTGCTGAAAATATATACATTTGTGCAATGACATATCTTTGTCCCTAACAGTTCAAAGACATATCTAGGCATATCAGGTTAACAATTGAGAAACCTAGTTGCTTTGCATGAATGCTGGTGTATATCATTTTCCCAAAAGGTTATGACTCTAACAGGTCATGCTTTTTACCAAGAGGTTATGCCATCATTTTTCAAAAGGTTGTGACTTCTAACAAGGTCATGCCTTTCCGAAGATCATAAAATCTCCTAAACGTTCTGGAGATTTCCACTTCCCAAAATGTATTCATGTTATATGCCTCCTTTCACCTGGAGTGGGTCCTAAAGTAGCTCACAAAAGCCAGCACCTACTTCATAATACAACATATTTATACCTTGAGTTGTTGTAGGTTTTTTCAGGCTATATGGCCATGTTCTAGAGGCATTCTCTCCTGACGTTTCTCCTGCATCTATGGCAAGCAGAGCCCGGCTGCTCATTGGAGGGAAGGATAGTAGAGGCCAAGAGGAAGTCCTTTGCCCACATCATGAGAAGACAGGAAAGCTTGGAAAAGATAAGGATGCTGGGGAAAAAATGGAAGGAAAAAGGACGAGGGGCCGACCAAGAGCAAGATGGATGAATGGCGTCCTTGAAGTGACTCGCTTGACTCTGAAGTAGCTGGGGATGGTGACAGCTGACGGGGAGCTCTGGAGTGGGCTGGTCCAGGAGGTCATGAAGAGTCAGAAATGACTGAATGAATGAACAACAAATGGCAAGCATTCTCAGAAGTTGTGAAGTCACCTCACTCCCTCTGAGGATGCTTGCCATAGATGCAGGTGAAACATCAGGAGAGAATGCCTCTAGAACATGGCCATTTAGACCGAAAAAACCTACAACAACCCAGCGATTCCAGTCATGAAAGCCTTTGTCAATACATATTTGTACCTTGTCTTGAAAATGATCAAATTGCCTTTTAGTTCAAAACCAGGCGTGAGTTGAAACTAGCCATTCACATACATGTAAAACCCCGCTGCATTGTTAGCATTCCTCTTGAAAGGTTTGCCCAGTTGTGCCAACAAAGGCCTTGACAGAACAAGAAGGAGTTCTTCGGGAAACCTCAAAGGACTGCTTTTTGTTCCAAAGGGAAGAGTAGCACACTACTAGGCCTATACTCAGTATAGTGTTTGTTTCCAAGAATCCAAGGAACTTGAGCAGTACCTGCTTGTGGGAGAGAGTGCCATTGGAACCCAGGGCATGCTTCAGGAATGAGAATAACAGCGCTCTTGCAAGAATGCCGTCCATGTGATTTGCTGGGTGAATTGGCAGAAAGAGACCAAGCCATGTTGTGTGCTGCAAGCCTGCCTCTGGGCAAGGCAGAATAATCATGTACATTTTTATTTCATTTAAGCAGCTTGGCTAATTATAGCTGTTGGGAGATTTGCTGCATTTCATGCTCCTCGCCCTCTTTATTCCCTCAATGCCTTTGAGCAACAACTCTGCTCCTTCCACAACTTTGCTTTGACAAGTCACCAATCTGTGGAGCAAAGTGTCTGCGGCCCGTTTGGTAATTACTCCATGAAGACGAAGAACCAAGTTTGGCAAAAATGCAGGAGCAACTGCAATCTTAGGAATATTCTTAGGAATATTATTATTATTATTATTATTATTATTATTATTATTATTATTATTATTTACAGCTTTTCTCTTCCGCCCTTCTCCTCACCCCGCAGGGGACTCAGGGCGGATTACAGTGTACACATATATGGCAAACATTCAATGACAATTTTTGACATACAACATATACAGACATAGACAGGCTATTTCACTTTTTCTGGCTGCCGGGGAGCTGTCGCCTTCATTGTCCATCTGCGACGCGGATGAAGCATTCCCTGCTTTGCTGGAGTCTTCTTTTTTATGGCCTCATAAATCAGTTAATTTAGCCTCCCCACACTTTAAGGTGGTACCTAATTTTCCTACTTGACAGATGCAACTGTCTTTCGGGTTGCAAAGGTCGACAACAGGCTACACAAGATCTAATTCTACTTGAGATCTAATTAGGTATCTATCTACCTAATAAAAGTGAATGTATGTATGTAAAAGTGTGTGTGTGTGTGCATGTACGTATCCATCTTTTCATCCTTTCATCCTTTCAACCATCTATCTATCTAGTAAAATTGAGTGCATGTATGTCTGTATCCATCTATCCATCTGTCTGTCTGTCCGTCCATCCATCCAACTTTTCCTATCAACTTTTCCAGATGTGGTACACAAAATCATGAGGCTGGGAACCAATTTTCCCTCACACCTGGAATGTTGTGTCTAATTCTGGGCATCACAATTGAAGAGAAGGGTCTGGAGAACAAGCCCTATGAGGAGCGGCTGAAGGAGCTGGGCATGTTTAGCCTGAAGAAGAGAAGGCTGAGAGGAAACATGATGAGAGCCGTGTATAAATATGTGAGAGGAAGCTACGAGGAGGAGGGAGCAAGCTTCCTTTCTGCTTCCCTGGAGACTAGGACGCAATGGAACAATGGCTTCAAACTACAAGAGAGGAGATTCCATCTGAACATGAGGAAGAACTTCCTGACTGTGAGAGCGTTCAGCAGTGGAACTCTCTGCCCCGGGATGTGGTGGAGGCTCCTTCTTTGGAGGCTTTTAAAGAGAGGCTGGATGGCCATTTGTGGGGGGTACTTTGAATGCAGTTTCCCTGTTTCTTGGCAGAATGGGGTTGATGGCCTATGAGGCCTATGAGGTTTCTTCTAACTCTATGATTCTGACTCACACAGGATGTACCCAACCCCCGTGGCAGCCAAATGTATCAGATTTGTGACCTGCATCCCAGCCAAAAACCAGTTCACCTTTTTGGATAGGATGTGGTTGAAAATTAAGATATGGAGGGGGAAACTAGGATGGATTAGGACTACATGGATGGTTGTTTATCTAAATTTTTGCTTGATTGGGGATTGGTGGCAATTCACAGCAAAAATCAACCCACAAAAGGGAGGAGAGCTTGGGAAGGGCTTCGATAAACTGGTGGACACCTTGAAGCAGAGTCCTGCAGTGTGAACTTTCCTCATCCTTGCTTGAATTTCCCCATCCTTGTTTGAATTTTCATAGAATCATAGAATCAAAGAGTTGGAAGAGACCTCATGGGCCATCCAGTCCAACCCCATTCTGCCAAGAAGCAGGAATATTGCATTCAAATCACCCCTGACAGATGGCCATCCAGCCTCTGTTTCAAAGCTTCCAAAGAAGGCGCCTCCACCACACTCTGGGGCAGAGAGTTCCACTGCTGAACGGCTCTCACAGTC